TGCCAGAAACTAACCAAAGTCAAATTCTTCCTCTGCTTTCTTTTCCTGTTTTTCTTTCTCTCAGCCTTCTCGTCTTTCCCTGCTCAGTGCCTCTCTCTTTTGCTGCAGCAGCATTTAGGGCATCTGCCGGCACACACTGGCAGCTATGTAGCTAGAGAGGAACTGGTGGCACACCACCCTTCATCCATTATTATTAGTTCCTCTATAAGATTTAGGCAGAGGGAAGGTGGAATGTGCGGAGAGCTGCGGGGAAACGTGCTAAGGGCCAAAAACTGGAGCCAGGGAATCTGGTTCCAAAAACAAAGTGGTGCAATGTTTTTTTTTTTCTTTGCTCAGCTTTTCTTTCCCCACTTTCTCTCTCTCTGCTTTTTTTTATTCGTCCGAATTTTTTTTTTAGAATAAATCACCATCATAGAGCCTAAATACATATAAATAAAGATCTTCCTTTTCTTTGTAAAGCATCTAATTGGTGTTTAGAATTATTTGAAAGCAAATCCTTTTTGCATCACTGTGTAGTTGTCTGTTTTTTTAACATGAAAGTATATAGATTTTCAGTTTTTTTTACTTTATAAAAAACTGAAATCTTCTCTTTGTTGTTTTTTTCACATATTTTTTTTTAAACCATGGATTATAAATCTTTTCCGAGGCTGAAGAGGTGGTCTGGGGTTACCTAAAGGTCAGCTGTGCTGCAGAGGACTGAAAAATGGCCCAGTGAGAAAAAGGAAAAAGTTACTGGGATGATAGACTGAGAGGTTCAGAACAAAATAAAAAAGCTGCTTATTAATAGCGATGGTGTGAGTTGATATATTCTTTAGGTAAGAAATGAAGAGGGGGTGTGCAATGCATAATGTTAAAACAACATATATAATTAATTTTATGGGGATTTTTAGTGAGGTTTTCAGGGAACACAAATGGTCCCTTGAGTGGTATGGTGTCAGCTTAATGTGATATGTGTTGCAAAGTTTGAAATTACATCCCAGATGTTTCTAAAAAAATAGACAAAAACTCCAACATTTTGAACCATGAAGAGACGGAAATAGGCTATAGAGTGCAAGCAAACTGTTGGTCAGAAGCAACATGCAGCGTTTTAGCAGTTTAGCTGACATGGTCTTGTTGTTCAGGAACAATAAGAAAAACCTAAGACGTAGGTTTTGCAAAATATCACTGTTTCAAAACGGTATTTTTTCCCATACAGATTTTTTTTTCCTGTATGAGGATTTTTGTCACCCCTAAATGTTTTAGATCACAAATATCAGTCAAAAAGAGCTTAAGTTATATTTTCGTAGCAGAAATGATCAGATTTTAGTCCTGACTTTACCCAGGACTTTTAAAAACTGTTAGTTTTGCTGTCTAAGCTAATGAGTGAAGGACCTGCAGGGATATGTTGCTTGGTTTTCCTGCTGCAAGACACAGCTAGACTGAAGCAAACATCATTAACTGGTAGCTGTACTTTCTCCTTCAGGGTCTTCTGCTGGAGAGCAGTCTATGGTTCCATCAATTATGACAAGATTTTTTTGAGTTTGTGTGGACGAGTTGTCAGTGTCTTTGTAACTCTTTCTACACTGATAGATACCTTGTGCTATATTTATAAATATCTTTAAATCTGGACATGTGATTCTTTAAACTTTTAGCCTACTTTGTGTTGATAAAAAGGTTCAAAGCAAGGGATTTCTTGATTTCCCAGGTGAGGAAATAATCTGGCCTGATATGTGTTACAAAAAACCTGAACAAAAAATAAATCTTATAAAGTTATATAACATATAACTTATTGGATTCTGGTACCTTCTGGGCCACATACGCTCCCAGAAAACAAGGACTTCTATGGCTAAAAGTCCAGTTTAAAAACACCCTAGGTCACATACAAGCCTTTTTGCTTTTTGATAACTAGTGACAGCAGGTTGCCATCCTTATTGCAGAAGGGTCGTAGTGTCAGGGTTGATGAGTAACCTTTACAAGCATCAGAAGAAACAATTTAATTATTTAGTGGGTTGGTTTTATGTCCTGGTAATTCACCAAATTACGTTAAGCCGAATCTACCAGCATGAGGGGGAGTGCTGCTGTTTTATGTGTTTGTGTTGCTGGCGTAGATCATCACACAACAGCTCCTAGCTGTGGGAAGGTATTTATTTATGTTTTTGTTTTTGGACCAGTATGTGTGTACATCCTGCATCCATTTCTTACCAGCTCCTTTGACCATTAAAAAACATGGGTGGTCATCCTGTTTATTATGAGCATTTGCAACAATGTTCACTTACCCACAATGGTTACCTTCACATACCACCTTAGACTGAGTGTTTTTAATTATATTCTCTTACTTCCATTTTGCCTCCAGCTTAGGCATAAGTCCAGGCCCCCTGTGTTTACAGTTCTTGTTTATATATTTGCTTTGCAAAATTGTGCCCTGTCAGAGAGGTAGAGCAATTGATATGAAAATTTGATACCTTCGATGTTATGTTTTAGCACAGAGGTGTGGTAGAAGATGTGTAATTGTTGTATAAGTACATATTATTGGTGAAGTATATCACCTCTCCAAAAAATGTCCAACTTTTTTACATTTAGTCTCATCAGTATCATAGATCTGATTTGAAAACATAGGGGAGGGGAGTGGCGGCCTAGTGGTTAGGGCATAGAGCTTGGAATCCTGAGGTTCTGAGTTGGAGCCCCACTCCTACAGACTGCAGTCCCTGAGCAAGACCTTTAACCCCATACTGCTCCCTGGACGCCCCACGATGGCAGCCACTGCTCCCCAAGGGGATGGGTTAAATGCAGAGGTAAATTTCCCCAATGTGAGATCAATAAAGTTAATTTATTGTTATTATTATTAAATAGTTGTGCATAATTGTAAAGAATGTCCTCTTGTTTAGGTTCAAACTTTGTTTACTGTATTGCATATAGGCAGTCTTCTATATTTGTGTTACTCTCATGTTAAATCCCCAAATGTACAATTTTGTTACTGTAATGAGGCAAAGGTGGGAAGAAACCCTCAAGGTATACATTTTTTTGCAGTGAGCTCATTGCCATTCCTGCTTCCCTGTATTTAACATTAACATGGCATCTCAGTAGAATTAATGGATTTTGTAACTTTTGTCTCGTATTTTGTTCTCTAAGGCCAAAATAGTTTCTGCTTCAGTTGTTGTTCAGCTATTTTTCTGTCCTCTTAGTTACCCTAGTTCAAGAAAATAAAGCTATGAGAAGCAGGAAGCCGTTTCCCGACAGAGTGATGGCAGGCACAGTGATAGGTTGTTTTCTTGCATTCACTTTGAGTGATTGTTGAGGCAAGTTAAGGCACATCCAGAGTATTTGGAGCTGGCTGGCTGCTCAAGTTGAGAATGAGCTCAACTTTTTCGCCAGGGTGAAATGTTGCAGTAGAAATGCCATGTTCAGAGGTAGATTTATTAGTTTAAGTAATCAGCTTTAGACATCAATTTATAGAAATTTCACTCAGCTTTTATCGTCAGTTTTCAAAACCTCACACATTGAAATCATGTGTTGGTTGATGTGTCTGCTACTTTATACCTGCATTTTCAGTTTTCTTCCCTTCTCTCCTCACACTCTCCCTCCTGTTATTGCTTCCTCTCGCTCTAAGTGATGGCATAAGGGAAGTTAATGACAAACACATTTCCAGCACTCCCACCTTCCCTCTCTCCTAATCAGAACCACTGTTTCAAGAGCTCTGTACAACAAGACAAAAAACAAAACTTCACTTTGTTTTCATTTAATGTAAATATCATTTTTTTTCCATTTATACAAATAAATTCACACAATACAAAAGCAATAAACAATAAAAAGTCCCCTAAATAAACAGGGAAAAATCAACACATTGAAAATAATTTGGGTTATTCTCAATGTTTTTTGTTTTATAGACAGATATTCCAGTTGCGTCTCTTATTTTAAAGGAATTTAGATTTGTGTGGGACCTGTAAGGAAAATGATGCGCTGAAAAATAAAAATGTTAACCTTTAAGGCATTAAGGGATGAGTCTTTGGTCTGTTTGCCTGCAGATAGTTGTTTGGACTCTGGGTACACCAATGCGTGTAGGTAGGTAACTTAAGGAAGTACATGATAGAAACTTGATGTCTACAGTTTATGTTTGCACAAGACAGAACATGCAGTTGCTTTATCACAGACACTCACACAAACAATAGTGTCATTCTTTGTGTAAGATTCACAGATATGGATCTTGTCTCCATGTATGTCTTTTGATGATCCTCCATTGGATCTCTGCAAATCTTATTTTGTTTTTCAAACAGCATGCACACCACAAGGTTGTGCATCTGAATTTTGCATAGTCTGTTTTGATGCTAGCATGCAAAACCTGTCTCTTCTGCCTAATAGTAACAATTCATGCCATAGCATCAAACCAGACTATGCACAATTCTGATGCACACCACAAGGTCGTGCATCTGAATTTTGCATAGTCTGGTTTGATGCTAGCATGCAAAAACAGTGTCTCTCTCTTCTGCTTAATAGTAACAATTCATGCCATACCATCAAGGATTTTATTTTACCCAAATTAAAGACGCTACATGGAAACTTAGCTAATTTTAACATCAGACCAGGAACTTTATGTATTGTAACTATGTTAAACAAATGGCTGGGTTGTACTTAAAATGTGTTCTAAACAATAAATAAAGTCACTGGAGATCTATATTTTTATTTTTAGCAAAATACATTTCAAAAACCATTTTTAAACAGTTCATTGAACACTGAATGATAAGGGCTTCAGTCTAGCTCTCCAATACATTGTTGTAATCCTGTTTCCCTTTTCCCCTAGGAGGGAATTAATCCTGATTCATTCCAGACTCCCATCTACTTAGACTGTCTGATATTCTGGCTGTAAAACCCTATGACTGACTTTACTGGTACCAAATGAGCGTTAATCTTCAAAGATTTTAATCTGATGTTTTGTCTGTTAGTCACAAGAAGTGAGTTTGGAGGTGTGGGAGGTGTTATCAAAGGGTTTAAACATTTAACAGTAATGAAAAATATAGGTATTTTTAAAAAAACAAATACAAAACAATTGAACCAAATAAAGCAATACATGTATCAGCTATTTTCTCAGTAAAACTTCATTTGGTGAGTTAAAAGGTCATTCACAGCATACACTGATCCCTTCCAGTAAGTAGGTCACTGATGAGTTTTTCACCGTGCCTCAAAACCAACCACTGAGACCGTTCACTTGGCCTTTGGTGATAAGGTAAGGGAGCACCAGCTCATATTAGTGCACAGGCAGTGCACCTAAGGGAGTGCATGAGCTTATAAAGTGTCCCTAACCTAAATCTTTGCCAAAAACAACAGTCCCAGCATCACAGCATGTTGGATGTCATACATTGCAGCATTTAGAATATAGTGTCTCAATGTTTTAGTCTTCTTTGACAACCATAGAGAAGTAAAGTTGATAGTGAGTCCAGCTTCTCTTTTGGTGATTAGTTGCCTAATTCTGTGTCCTCGACTATCAAGCAGTAGTCACTACTGTTCATGTTCTTGGCAGGACACAGCTGAGGAAATAAAAATCCTCTCACAGATCTGATTGATCAAGAGCTTCTGTCAGAAGTAAGAAGGCTTGTGCATGGACATATTGTTATTTGACGAATGATGATCTTGTAGTAATAACACCTCATACTCCAGACTACCCGTTTGGACAACAGGTTCGGGGATCATAAGTTGTGGCTGTTTGTGAAACAACGCCCCGTTATCCAAACCTGCCTTAACTCCATCCGGCTCCAGCTGGGAAGGCTCACAGTCAAGATCCAGGTGGGTCTTGGCTCTCTTTCTTCGAAGAAAGCAAACCACTCCCACTGCTACTGCTATGAGAACCAGCAGCGCCAAAATGGCAATTGAAGGCATTAGCATTGTGGTAAACTTTGGGTTGTCGACTCTTGCCACAGGGCCAGAAGGTTTTGTATGAGCTTCAGTGCAGACACTGTCTGTATCCATGGCTGCACCTAAAGGACTGACGCATACACTGTAAGTGGAATTGGGATTCAAACCTCGGAGTCTGTACTCTGGGAAGGTCACTGGAAGGTTAAGCTGCATTGGCCTGCGGTCCGGCCCAGAGAGGTTTCTGTAGGTCAAGCGGATTCCACGGATGTGAGGCCGCAATTCAACATAGCGGTGGAGATCTAGCAGAATTGATGTTGCCGTTGCTTTAAGTGAACTGATGTCTGCCGTGTTTGCAGTAAGGGTTTCCTTTGATGGATCAGCTTCACGGGACAAAGGTGGAAAGGGATTGAGGATTTCACAAAAAAGCCCAGATGTGCCATCTGGACATATACACACTCCCTGACCATGCTGATTCCAATGACAAGTACCCCCATTTAAACAGGCATACTGGGGACAGAATTGCTCCTCTTCATCTAGATCAGTACTGCTGCTGCTGCTTGGAGATGGCAGAACAGGAGGCAGAGGAATGTTGCCACCTTTATTAGGAGGATTATCACTGGCCCTGGGGACTTGAATAGATCTAGTAGTAGTTGGTAAGGTGGTAACAGGAACAGGCAGGGTGGTAGTAGTAGTCTTGACAGTAGTAGTGGTCATTGCGGTTGTCGTTGGACAGCCAAAATCTCTGTTTTCCAGATTTTCTAAGACCTTTCCGGCATTGATGGGTGGAAAATGGCAACGTGTCTCTTCTGTTCTTTCCAGGGTGATGCTCTGAGCCTTAAGCCACCTTGGGAACCATGCTAAGTTACAAAGGCAGTTGAAGGGATTTTCTGCTATTGTAAGTTTTGTTAAGTGGGGGAAGAGCTTAGAAAACTCCTCAGGAAGTCCTTGTATACTGAGACTGCTTATGTCCAGCTCCATTAGTTCACTGAGGTTTTGCAGATCCTCAATCTTCAGAGGGCCCATTGGGTTGCCAGCTAGGTTTAGGTGAAGCAGTCCTGGTGTTTCCTTTAGGGCAGAGGGGAAAGAATCAAGCTTGTTTCCTGAAATGTCTAATTCATGAAGATTCTTTAGACGAACTATAAGCTCCTTATTTAGACTGGTGAGCCCAACACCACCCAGCCTGAGTGACTCCAGGTTCGGGGTCTGAAGCTCAGAGGGATTTAAAGAGGGTAAGACATTAAAGCGGAGGTCCAGCAGCAGCAGCCTGGGTAATGAGAGAAGGGGCAAGGTTGTCAACATATTACCCTGCAATTTCAGTTCCAGGAGATGTTTCAAGCCATTGAAAGCAGAGGGGTGGATTTTTTCGATGTGATTACCATACAAATAAAGGCGCTCCAGCTGTGGCATTCCTTGGAAACATTCCTCTGAGATGTAGGTGATCTGGTTAGATGACAAATCCAGATTCTTTAAAGAGATCAGTGGCTCAAACACCCTTTCAGGAAGACTGGTCAGTTTGTTTTGACTGAGGTCCAACATTTCTAAGTTAACCAGTCCATCAAAATCCTTGGCTTTAATGTCTTCAATCCCATTTGCAAACAGATAGAGGCTTTTGGTTGAAAAGTGTACTTCACGAGGAATGGTAGATGAGCGTCTTTGGGAACATAAAATGCTCATTGGACTGTGGCACAAGCAGTCTTCTGGACAGTCGCTGGTAAAGATGCCATGAAGAAGCATGAGGAGGAGAAGAAAGGACATCAGTGGACTGAGAAAGATCTTCATGGTGCAAAACCTGTCTCGCCCAATGCTTAACCTGAAAAAAAAAAAAAAGAAAAAAAAAAACACGGTTACCAATGTGGCTTTTAGAAAAAAGATGCCAAAAAGACACAAAGAATATTCTTAACATAACTTTGCAATTCATTAAAGCAGGTTTTTTTTTACTAGCACAGTTCATATGCAAATTCATATTAAGGGACAACTTGGAACGAAAAATACATAATAAATTGCATTGGCAGAATAAATACATTTTAAAATCCCATTAATGGAAATAAATGCTAAAATCTTACCTTTTACTTTTTTTTAAAGTCTGATTGCAAATGTATCACCTTTCATTTTATTAAGTTGAAGACAATTTTTATTTTACATTAATTAATATCATGGACACATTGTCTTAGTGGCCATGTGTTGATGCAGGAATATTAAGTGGTGTGCTTTCAGCTCATATATTAAAAAAGATATTGAAGAGCTCCATTTTCAGCTACAAGAAGAAAAAAAAGACATAAAAATAAAGTAGCCAGAGAACAAACCTTGAGGGACCCTGATTAAGCACATACATTTTTTTTTTATATATATATATAAAAAAAGCCTCTTGTCTATGTTCACTGGACAAAATAAAAGGTATACATTTTAACTCACCTAAAATAAAGACATAATTTTATAAAAGGATTTTCTTTTTTGTTTCAAGAAGGGCTAGGATCAGTCATGCAGTATCTGTCTGGTCATGTGACACTGATTTTGATTGTGATGTCAGATTTATGGGAGTTTAACTGAATAGATAAGCAATGTCAGCATCGTGGTCAGCTTAATGGTGTCCAAAGGGTAAGGAAACATATGATAAATGACAACATAACTATTGGCCATAACAGCAAAATTAATATCTAAGATAAATATCGGCCCAGATTTTCATACCAGTGCATCCCTACACTTGGTATCTTTTTCTGAAAATTAAGAGCCTGGGAAACTTAAAAACCTATCTGAATAATAACAACGGTAATAATATACTGTAACAGAGTGGTTTTAGCTGGAGGCTTACTGAGAACTGCTGTAGGACAGACCACTACAGATGATCCTTCCTGCCATCAGAACGCCATAGATGGCCATAGAAACCTGCATAATATCAATATCTATTTTCACTTCAGGATTAATAAATCATTCTTAGCAGAATTGGAATTAAACAACAGACAACAATTGTGTTCACTCTGGTTTTATCTTAACTTATAAATCTACTGCTGAGTTATTTCCTTCTTTATGCCAAGCTGCACGTAGCAAAGCTTACATGAAGGATTTATTTGTAGCCTTCAAAACCCAGAGAGAAACTGATAGTCTGGAACTGCCTTCCCAAACCATAGATGTAAGATAAACTGAGTAAGATAAAAGGCACATATTTTCTGTGTTATCCAGAATGACAGCCTTTGGTATTTGCTTAAAGGTACACTATGCAACCGGTGTTGATTTTCCAGCGAGGGTCCCTCCAGAGGGCGAAAGTAAAAGTGCACTGTCG